TTTGATTATTTAAGTCTCCTAACAGTCCCATGGACTGGATATTGGAGGTGGTGCTACTATCATGACACTGATTCCTCTCCCTTAAGTTCTTAGAGCTAATTGCTAGCTTGGAATTCTTTTAAATACAATGACTGAGATTTCTCATTAAAAAGAGAAATATTTTGGGGCACCTGGGTAGCTCAGTCAGTTAAGTGTCCAACTCCTGGTTTAGGTTCAGGTCATGATCTCAGGGTTCTGGGATCGAGCTCCAGGTCAGGCTCTAGGCTCAGTGTGGAGTCTGCTTGTCCCTCTCCCCCTGCTCATGCTCTCTCCTGTCTCTGTCTCTCTGTCTCTCTTTCTCTACCTCTAAAATAAGTAGTCTTAAAAAAAAAAAAAAAGAACTATTCTCTTCCACCCATGCCCTTTCCCTCTGTCTCTCTTTCTCTACCTGTAAAATAAATAAAGCCTTTTAAAAAAAGAAAGAAGAGAAATATTCTAAGGAATGGCATCCTATAGTATTCTTTCCTTAACGTTTCCTTTGACTTTTAAAAGGAAGCTAAAACTCTGGTGGAGTTAATGATTGTTTCACCTACTCCAGTTACTTGGATCATGAATTTCCAGGATACCCTGCACAGAGGGCTAATAAGTATAAAACACAGAAAAATCACAACCATCCTTACATTTTTGTTTTCATTTTTCTACGACTTTTTAAACATTAGAATAAAGTACAGTTAAAAAGGGAGATCATACAGGTCACAATTTTTTATTTAGAAGAAACTTCTTTCTCAGCTTATTTAGGCATTGATTGATCTTATCTGGTACCTATGCAGCTGTATTACGGAATTCCTTGATTACTGAATGGAATCTTGATTAATAAAATGCATTTACTATCTAACATTTAAGAATCTCTTTACAGTGTCTAAATTTCAGATTTCAGAATTCAGCATAAGACGATATTACTTGAAACTGACATTTTGGGAAGAAAGATGTCATGTATTAATGAGTGAACCCATGTTGGGCCATTAACCCAGCAAACATAATGTGTGCCTCTTCTGTGGTGATTTTCATAAAGAAAAATGACAAGGCCGGGGGGGGGCGGATTAAGAAATACTGAATTCTTACCTTGAACCAGGCACATTTATATCCTATTTAAGAAAACCTTACCCAACCTGTAAGGTTGGCATTCCTATCTTTCTTTATATCTATGGAATTTGAAGTTTGTACAGTTTAAATAACTTGCTCAAGTCATTTAGGTAAGAATGAAGGAGAGAGGTTGTCTTCTACTGTCTGCTAACATCAAAGTGCATTGAAAACCTGAAGGCTGGGGAGCCTGGGTGGCTTAGCAGTTGAGTGTCTGCCTTTGGTTCAGGTCGTGATCTCAGGGTTCTGGGATCAAGTTCTGCATCCGGCTCCCTTCAGGGTACCTGTTTCTCCCTCTGCCTGTATCTCTTCCTCTCTCTCTCTGTGTCTCTTATGAATAAATAAATAAAATCTTAAAAAAAAAAAGAAAAGAAAACCTGAAGGCCAAGATTCTAGCTCACAATGTGAAGTATTTAACTTATCTGATTACAGTTTCATCATTTTGCAGGCATAAACAGTATATTATCTATTTACATTAAAAATGTGAGAAAAAAAGAGAATTTATGTAAAACTAATATTTCAAAGTGCAGAGATATCTTTGCTTTGCTGCTGTGTGTATTACTGATCATAAGTCCTCCATACAAAAACAATGACCTCATAAAACTATATCTGAAAGTAACTGCAATAGAATTTATGAAGCTAGTGGCTAGAAAAATGCTACCTTTCACAGAATATATATATATAGTTTCTATAAAGTTGAGGAAGAACCTCAGAACACCAGGTATTTTTGGTTTGGTTTGGTTTTTTGGTGTTGTCTGTTCTGGTGCAAATGGCAAACCACCTAGAGTAAAGCATTTTTTACAATACAGACAGCCACATTAGGAAGGATATGTAAATTTAATTTTAATGTTATATTTTCATTTTTGGTGGTGATGGTATTTTATGTTAGGCATTCATAAAAAGTAGCATCCAGGGGTTCCCTGGTTGGCTCAGCAGTGAGTGCCTGCCTTTGGCCCAGGGCCCAATCCTGGAGTCCTGGGTTCAATTCCCACATCAGGCTCCCTGCATGGAGCCTGCTTCTCCCTCTGCCTGTGTCTCTGCCTCTCTCTTTCTCTGTGTCTCTCATGAATAAATAAATAAAATCTTTAAATTAAAAAAAAAGAATAGGTTACAATTTATTTATTTTAAAAATATAAGCATTTTATTTATTTTTATTTAAATTCTAGTTAGTTAACATACAGTGTATATTAGTTTCAGGTATACAATGTAGTGATTCAACTCTGAGTTTCAGATAAATACCATATCATTTTTACTATAAGTATGTCCCCTGAAAATATTTCATACTTATTTTAAAAATTATTTCATATTTCCTGAAATTCAAAGTTAATTTGGTGTCCTGTATTTTTTATTGCAAAGTCTGGCAACCTTCCTAATAATCTGACATTTGTAAAATTTCCCAATTCGAAGGTAATATGAATTTTAATTTTGATTTTTTATACTGTGAGAGTATGTATGTATATGCCTGCTTCAGACAGCTTTTATCTTTCCTTTCTGATTTCCTTTTAAGATGAGCATTATTGCTTATTAATTAGTACCCCTTTGGCTCATTCTAGGACAGTAATGGAGAGGATGAGAGTAATTTTTTTCATTATCTGGAGGTTTATAGTTAGTTAATCATTTACGTTATTTTATTCAAGTTTTAAAGTTATCCCCTTAGGAAATTCTGCAAAACACCTCACAATAAACATTTCTAGCTTCCATTTTCAGAACTGCTAACTACTGCCTAAACATATCTTAAACAAGAGCACGTTTCGTTGAAACATTTCTCTTAGGACAAACACAGGAGACATGTTTTAAATAAATTAAAATTGCAACACACAAATTATTCCTAAAACAATCAAGGTACATTCCTTTCCAGCTTCTTATAAACAGATAATTGCACTGACTTTAGAAAATTATAGGTTAGTTTTGCTTTGTATCTTCTGGGTTACCAAACTTTGCATTTACTGTATCTTTTGGCTTCTTAACTACCTTTGATGTAAGTAGGCGGTATCTTATGATTATTTCTTCAAGTTTTTTTTTAAATCATTAAAAATTTTCCCTACTGAGACTTAGAATTAAGACCTCTATCAGATTTTATATATATATATAATATATAAAAAATAATATATAATTGCATAAATATATATATATTTTTTAGAGATTTTATTTATTTATTCATGAGAGACACAGAGAGAAGCAGAGACACAGGCAGAGGGAGAAGTAGGCCTCATGCAGGGAGCCCGATGCAGGACTCGATCCTGAGACTCCAAGATCAGCCCTGGTCCGAAGGCAGGCGCTAAACTGCTGAGCCACGCAGGGATTCCCCCCTCTATCAGTTTTTAATCCTCACTGGAAAATTAAACCTTTTATAATATTCCCCTTTTACTTTCACTGATACAGTCTATGCAAAGTTACTATGTGTGCCGTTCCATGTTTGAAAATAAGTGTTGCTACTGCTCTTTAATTATATTTCTGTTATCTTGTCTGGGAAATTTTCAAGTCACAGAATAGTGGAAATTAATTTTTAGACTTTATACATGGATAACTATTCTTTCTGGAAGTTATATCTTCTTTTAAAATGCTAACGCAATCTCTCCTTGAGATATGAAAATTTATATCTTGAAATGTTTCAAATGTCACCCCTGCCACAATCACAAAATTGGGATTTTATCTAAAACTTTTACTTCACTTTCAAAGACCTATTTCTAAGAATTTTCCACTCACAGAAATAAAATATCTTACAAAATATCAAAAGAGCAAACTCCATAAAGAAATAATTGCTCCGATAATCTATCTATATATTATATGCCCTACAGAGTCTCTTTAGAAAAATAAACAAAACTAAACATCAACAACTGCTAAAACCTGGTGAGAGGTCAAACAAATGCCAATAGCTTTTAGCTTATAAACTGAAATCTGTAATCTTAGGCATTTACTGCTGCAGAACCTTATAAATTTACCCTTAGAACCATAATATAGATGGAAACCATGTTATAGTCTTTGAAAAAAAAAAAAGTCTTCCTCTCTGCTTGAAGATCAAGGTCTGCATTGCTGTTTTATGTAGAGAAATTGTCTGGTGATTTTAGTGTATTTACTTATAAAACAACTTATTTTTAAGGAATATAAGTGTTAGCTCTAATTTTCTAGTGAAAATTTCTTTATTGCTTATTGAATCAATATATTTCCCATTGTTCTTCACAATAAGCATAAGTGGCTTATTGTGGCTTATCTTCTAGGTTTAAAATTTATATTTTTTATTTGCATTATTTGTATTATTTGTATTATCTTGTATAATTTGTATTAATGAGCTGGTGTAGAGGCCATTGATGGAGCAGACATGACATTCCTACAACACCAAAATGTTTTTGAAGATTAAGCCAAAAGAAAAAATCATTCCAAAGGGAATGATCTAAAAAGTTTATGTGAAATTACAAAAGAAAAAAAAAGATTTTTGTCATCATCATCATCTTCAAAAAATGTTTTTTTGCATTTTTAAAAAGCAAGGTCATTTTGTTTAGCTCAGTTAAATTATGGAAAGGCTCTGGGAATCTGGAAAATCACATGGAGTCAATGAAAGTGTAGTTAGAATATAATTCAAGTGCCTGAGGAAAGTGTTGGAGTGCATGACCTCTTTGGGTAAGTATGACCCCACATGAAGACAACTCTAATGAAATTATTTTGAGCAGTTTATGGTTTTAGATAGAGCTTTAGTTCCAAAGAGGTCAAAGTAAGGTGCCATGGATAATCTCTCTCATCAAAGGCGGGTGTTATGTGTATGCCAATTGCCCCACAAGACCTATGTCTTTAAAGAATTAATGATATATTACAAGAGAATTCACTCTCCATATTTTCATTCACACTCTTGCTTGTACTGACTACTGGCTTTCTGTTCTGTCCAGGCACTGAAGGAGCAGTATTTGGGCACTCTGTTGAAACACCTCACATCAGAGCAGAACCATCCCAAGATCTCAGGTAAGTTCTGGCTCTTCCATCTGTGGCAGAGTTCAGTCAGTGTTGATTTGCCCTTGATATACAGAGAAGTAAAATAGAAAATGTGCTACATATTTGTGTTACTTGAATATATGTAACCTGTTGTCAGGGAATGTCAACTCAACACAAATATGTGAGTTATTATTCCAACCTTCTATATATTTTTGCCTCTAATAAAATGAATATAAAAATAAACATATCAGGCAGGAGGAGTGTGGAAAAGTCAGTTACAGAGGGGGTTTAGAGAGTATTGATAAAAATCAAGATTCCAGAAGATCTGATAGGCAATGAAACACATGGCACACATAGGCAGAAAGAGGAGGCAGAAAGTAGGAAAAAGCTAGAAATTGTCAGGGAGTGTTATGTTAAGGGAAACACAAAGCAAATGTAAATAGTAATCAGAAAAAGGCAGGGCTTAATTGCCTTATGATGGATTCCTCAATCTAATATTTCCAATGGAAAATGCTACTTTCTGATACTGTGCTGTTTCTAAGAGGCAGAGCTGTATGTAACAGCCCTCACTACCCAGGAAATTGCGAGACAACTTTATAGAATTCGTCCTAGGATAATTACAGCAACTGTTAATAAACGTTGAAATATTAAAATCTTGTAACTGATTGATTAATGTTCTTAACTCAGTAAGTGAGTTAAGGTTGGGGGATCAAAGATCTTTTATATGATTTATTGTGGTCCTCATTCCAAAATATATCAGTACATCAAATCATGTATATCTAAAACTAATAGGATCTTATACATCAATAAAAAAGATGCTTTATATAATTACTATCTGATAGGTAAATTATATTCCAAAATACATTTCTATAGGATTAAAAAAGACAACATTAATGATGATAAAAAATAAATCAGATATTAAAAGTCATTTTTAAAGCTGAATCAAAGTATCAACCTGGGAGATGGCATTTGTCTTGGAAAATACAATATGAATATGAAGCAAAACCCAAATTATTTCATAAAGATCAGGTTTAGTCCTTCCTGTTCGGATGAGTGGGAAAAAAATGTTCAAATGAAAATAGAATAATAGAGAAAAAAAATTAAATGTAAAAAAAAAATCCGTACTTTCACAACAGTAAATTTTTCAGAACTTTATAGTTCTGTGATAAAATTTCCTAAGGAAGTCAGTTTCTCAGTATTTTAGCATTTGACATCCAAATAGTCTGGGTAACAATAACAGAAGAAGGTGGCCATCTTCAAGGCATTTTTTATGAGACAGAAATAATTTTTTACTCAATGCCCAAACCCCAGGGATCTAGGAGGGTTAAAGAGTATATGTAAATAGCATCTCATGGTGTGTTATACTTTTAACTTATGGCTCTTTTCTCACTTAGGAATTCAACATTTTTGTGTAATTATTTATTTTATCCCTCCCCATCTAGGAAGGTTGTATGCTCCATAGATCAGGATCTACATTGTTCCTTGTTTATCTTTGTATAAACTATTTAAAGACTGCTATAGCAGTCAACATGTATCTCACATATAATGTGCCTGATACATACTTGTTCATTTGAATTACTGAAATAGCAAAACTCAATAACAAGGATGTTGAGTGCATGTAATGTAGAAGTGTGGTCACAGTTACTGTGTTATTAAGACCCATGTGGCCAACGTTGACTCCAATGGTTTTTGAACTGTTTTAGTACACATGCCCGAGCTTAGTGATTCATTCAATAAAAAAAATTGTTTAAATTACACCATTCTAAAAGAAACTTCTTTTTACTTCTAACATTTTAGTAACTATATACTCATTGTATGATTTTCATTTTAGTAACTATATACTCATTGAATGATTTTCATTATGAAAATCGATCGCCAAAAGAGAAATAAGAACTTTACTTAATTACCTTGCTGACATGTCTCAAAATTCATAAGTGTGAATGTGAATTCAATTATAATTAGTATATAGTGTTTAGAGCTTGTATTTTCTAATTATTCATCAATTATTTAAATATTGCACTAAGCTAAGCTTATCTGCTAGTGCTAAAAGCAAATTAGCAACCCCCAAGATGAGTGTTACTGATATAATTCGAAAGCTGAAACAGAAGCAAACCACAGTAATAATGGGGGTGTTCAATTATTCATTTGTGTACAAGAAGATTAAAAGCAGAATGTCTGAGAAGATTTTTATGAGTTCTGCTGACAATTCTCCTTTCAGGCCAGTAAGAAGTACTTTTAGTCGACACCTAATTCTAATTAACAAGGTGAGATTGGTTGGCCAGGTAAATCAAATGGTAATTTGGGGAGTAAGTAGCTGTGTTGTCTTTAATTTTGTTTTTGTTGAGAATAAAAGACTTTAGACAGGTACATTCCAAAAGTTTTATTAAAGAATATAGGTAATATTTTGGAGTGGACAGGAAGTAGATTTCTACAATTTACGTATTCAACACGTTTGATGAGTCCTTAATATTTGGCCAAATTCTATGCTAGTTTCCACATGCTCTTTAAACCTACACATGTAGATTTTCTAGGATATTTTATATAAAGTGACATTGTTTTTTAGTTGGTACTAGAAAGGTATTTTAGTAGGTATTAGAAAGGTGAAAAAAAGTATATTGAATAGTCAGTAACAACATAACAGTATATTTTTCCAGAAGAGCCCAGGTATGAACGTTCTTCCGTTTTTATTTCTTAAATTAAAATATAGCTAAATTATTACAGTTCAAAAGAGATTCTGCACTCTATGGTGAAGACTGATGAAACCCATTGTATATTGCCCAAACATTGTTTGGATCTGAGTTTCATTAACTGTTCCAAGAAAAGAAAAAAAAAAAAAAGAATCCAGACTCAGATTCATTTCAGTAAAATGAATTAATATTTAATGATGTAACTGGTATCTTTTCATCATGTCCATTCTTGTATGAATATAATTTTAAACTGAAATGTTAAGTTTTGCAGGCTCCAAATTAATCACTGAAAACACATAGCTCTCATTTACATCATGATTGTGTTCAAGGAAAAGCCACCGCCATGTATAAGGTAGTTAAAGATTTTGCACTGACAAGTTTTGTCAATGAAAGGCTAAGATAAATTTGCTGGAAAAAAAAACAGTAAAACGGTATTTTGTTCCTTTCCCCACCTTTTCTTGTCTCTGCCTCTTTCTTCTCCCTCTTTACTCTTTCATGCTATGTCTGTATTTATATATTTATTTAGAGTTAATAGCAAGTGATCATTATGAGAAGCTTGTCTTAGCATGTAATCTTGGAAACACAGAGCAAAAATTGATCTAGAAATTTGTTTGATCTAACTTGAAGGAAGAAACCATAATGCAAGGTGCAAGTAGGCAGAAAACAGTAAAAATTGAGGCAACAGAAACAACGTGATTTGCAGCTGAAGAAAACTCACTGCAGCTCGAAGTGCTGAGACATTAAAATTGCCTGTATATTCAGGTCACAGTTTGCATTGGTCTTTTTTTCCTGTAAAACATTTTTCTGTCCAATTTTCCATTCATTCCATCATTGAAATAAAAAATAATTTGGATCCCCACTAAATGTCTGATGCCATGTTAAATATTTATGAAGAGTGAGATACATGATGCTTAAGTTCTGCTTAAGTTTCCGTGAAGTGGTTGTGTCTCACAGCTTATTTTAAAAGGAGTCTGAATTCCTTTCTCAGAATATTGAGGATTCTTCTAGAAACCTAGGGCACTCATTTTCAAATTGAGAATCTCATAACACCTTAAAAACAAAATCTTGTTGCATCTTTGGTATGTAAATACAGTAAAAATAGAACATCTTGGAAAAAACAGGTGGCAGGGTGACTTGAGTTCAACATTACTCCTTTTCTCTGCTAGAATCTCTGTTTGCACTATAAGAACTAGTCTGAAATCTGTTGCTATGATTGCTAGAATGCTTTCAAAATGAACACAATTGTACTTAACTAATTCTAGTGACTAATCACATCAGAATTCAAAAGCTTTGCAAATAAACATGGGTTTCATTTTTCAACAGGCCCTTTTAGAGAATGTTATATAATAAAATAAATTAAAAATCTCTACTATGTTGTAAGCCCTCCTCAGGGGAGGCTTGAGAATTTCTATATAGGAGGGAAGTAGGGCATCATTTCATTGTTGAGCCTGTGTTGCCAAGAGTCTGATTATTAGAAGCTTCTAGAAGAGAATACAGGTTTAGTTTAATTTGAGTTCCAGACTATTCTGGAATGTTTGAGCTCCAGAATGACTAAGTCCAGGACTTCTAAAGGGATTCTAGGCTTATTTGAGGAGTCCAAAATATCTAGAGAAAATTGATGCAAACTAAGATTTACTAAACTTTACCAATTCTTTTTCTTTATGATTTTGGGGGTTTCCATCTTGTTTCAGAAATTTTCTTTTTTGTATCTGGATATTTCCTGTATGTTCTTCTAATTTTCTCTTATTGGTTTTATACCTTTAGTAATTTATTTCTTAGTTTTATGTTTTGAATAAATGAGAAATTGTGTTCTGAATTTTCTTAGAATTTTCCATTGAAAATTAGTCTGTGATTTATTATTTTGTACACTTGGTGATTTTTTAGTTTACTGTTTTGAATAAATAAAATGAAAAATTATTCTGAATTTTTTTCTAATTTTCCACTGAAAATTATAGTCTGTGATTTATTAGTTTTTATATTTTGAGTAGGTAAAACTGGAAATTATTCTTGCAGAATATGAAGGATCTAATGTTATTGTCTTCAGTATGGAGAGTCAATTATCAAGCATCTTTATTAAATAACCTAGGATTTTCCACCCAAAATGATTGCCATATTTCTCATAAACTAATTTCTCATAAATACTTTTGATGTTTTAAATTATATTGTGTTCTATGATGAATTTTTTTAAGCTTTTATTTATTTATTTGATAGAGAGTGAAAGAGAGAGAGAGACAGCATGACACTGGGGAGGGTCAGAGGGAGAAGCACACTCTCTGCTGAGCAAGGAGCCCAACGTGGGGATTGATCCCAGGACCCCAAGATCACAACCTGAGTCCAAGGCAG